GATTGCTTGCCTGACCACACCGCCCCTGCCAACCATAAGCATTCAGGGTTCATGAAGATAGCACGCACGGTGCAGAGTTCTTCTTTCGAGCTGGTGCCAAAGAGCGCATTCGCACAGCGCTCACGGCCATAGCAAATAAAAAGGTGTACACGTGTGTGTGCGTGTATATATATGTATGTATATCACATGTATGTAGACTGTGCGTATGTGTGTGTGATATACGTGTGTGTGTGTGTATGTTCACACATTGTCTACATTGTACATGCATACATACATACATACATACATACACACATTACATTACATTACATTACATTACATTACATTACGTTACGTTACGTTACGTTACATTACGTTACATTACGTTACATTACGTTACATTACATTACATTACATTACATTACATTACATGCACACACACATACATACATACATACATACATGCATGCATGCATGCATGCATGCATACATACACCGATGCAGCACATACACTTATACAAAGAGTGCAGTGATATTATTTGCCTCCTGCACAACACAGCTACTGCGGCAGGATTCCGGACGAAAACAAGGGCCAGACTGACAACAACTGCGACGAATCCCAAGCAGAGCCTGCAAGAAAGAGCACATGTTCGAGTGCTGCTGCATTGCCGTGCAGCCACGGAACTCGCACTGAACCACTGAATACAGTCTACAGTGAATGACGATGCAACATGCAACACTATCTGCGCGCAAAACTCAGACCAAAAAGGCCGTCGTCGGCAGCGCGCCTGCACTGACCGTCGAAAAGGATCAGCCGGCGCCTCAGGGTCCCAAGGCAGCGAAGGCCGCTGCTCCCTCAGACTGGAGATGTAAAACGCACACCTCGACCTTAAATTCCAGTCCTGAGGTGTGTGGGTGTATGCCGGGGCACGTCTCGCCCTGGGACTCGCCCAGTTTTGCGGCAATCCGAGCCTGCAGATCCTGGGAAGACCGGACAGATCGATTCGCACAAGGAAAAGGACAGTGCAAGAGAAACGGAGGAGTATTCGTGGAGCTGATATCGGATGGTCCATGGACACGGCACAGCGGCTTGCGCGCCTGGCTGGTGTCGCTCGTTTCGGCAGGTTTCTCATCAGTGGACGACCTGCCCAGCCAGAAGGCAACGAAGCTTTCAGAGTGCTTCCCTGCAGATGCGCCAGACAGATCGAAGAAGCACTCGTGCTTCAACGTTCTGAGGTCCAGGCGCCATCAAAGCGGAAAGATCCCGGCTGGCGGGTTGGACTGCTGGGAGGACTGCTACTTGCAGACTGACTTAGGTACTGAGATGAAGTTGGCCCCAGAAAGATCTGCTGACAACAGAGGTTTGACGTCCAGGACACACTTGAGCCGAATGCAGTCGAACACCAAATCGGCCTGTAAGTCATACAGGCCCGGACAAAATCGGGCCGTGAAAGGGAAGCATCGGTTTTCGTTCTCAGCAGGCCAGATGTCAGGACTGGACAATCTCCAGTCCTCCGCCCACCACGTGCAGACGAGCTCATCCGGCTCCAGCAAACTGCAAGACTGCAAGCCGCCCGATACTCGCATCGTGGCGAGCCGGCCAGCCAGCATTAGCAAAACTAGCAACTTACTCGTACTTGAAACTAAACCAGGACTATCTGGTCCACGGATTCAGGCTCGAACTTGAAGGTGTTGATTTGGACACCTGCAACAGTGGTGAGATCAAGACGTGTGGTTCTCCACCATTGTCAGAGTCGCTACCGAGTTCTTGGAGGGCTGAAGGATGTTCAGCAGGACTTATGGTCATTATTGTCATGATCGTTCTTACCACTATTGTGTCATTTATGATGTTATTCGTGATATTATTCGTAGTAATAGAATGAAAAAGCTTTTTACCATTAATAGCAGAATTTCTGACCTGGTTGTTCTTTCGATTACTGTCATTCTTGTTACTATTGCTACTATTTTGACAATTCATGCCAAATCTGACTATTGTGATTATTAAGATTGTTATGATTAGTATTATTATCGGTATTAGCAGGGTCATTGCTACATATTGGTATTCATGAACTTTCAATTAATATTGAAACTATGATGATTACTACTTTTGCTGTGAACATGTTTGTTGACCTTGTTATTCGTGTGACTATTAACATTATCCTCGTGAGTACTATTTTTAGTAGTAGTAGTAGTAGTAGCAGCAGTAGCAGTAGGCGTCGTCGTCGTTGTCGTCGAGGTCGTAGTAACATTGTTGCTAGTATTGTTGTTGTCGTTATTACTGTTCTTGTTATTCTGACCATTAATACCGAGATTTGTCTGGTTTTCATTGTATTATGTTTGGTACCCGATTTTGTACTTCTGTAAACACCCGGAAGTAGTAGTGGTAGTAGTAGTAGTAGTTGTTGTAGTAGTAGTAGTAGTAGTAGTAGTACTAGTAGTAGTAGTACTACTACTACTACTACTACTACTACTACTACTAGTAGCAGTGGTAGTAGTAGTAGTCGTCGTCGTAGTAGTAGTAGTAGTAATAATATGATTGGTTATCTCATCTCTATTGCCAGCTGTATTGCCTATGCAGGCGCAGACCGAGAAACTTGCCATAAACGTACGCGCCGCGCTGCACATGCACCGCAGGCACCTGAAAAGTTCAACCCAGAGAGCATCGTGCCACAGTTGAAGATTGCTAGATTTGGCGGCGCCAGTCACTACCGGAGCATCTATAGCTTACATCAGAACTTCCGAGTCCGCCGAGCCTCACATGATACGTTCAGGACTCCTCCCTGACCCACGTGGTGTTCACCTGGTGGAATCACCAGAGCAGCCGGGTCCACCTGGGACACCACTCGCTGCGAGCACCGATAGCTGGAGTCATTACTTCAAGTTATCTTCGATAAACTTGCTACAAGTAGGGTCGTCGAGATGCAGGTGGCGCCGGCTCGCTGACAAAGACCAGCATCGCATCATGTGTGCTGGAGTCCAGATTATATTTACTCGAGTTGGCGTCGACAAAGACAGACCCGTAGTGAACTGAGATATGCTTGCCACAACCGTTTGCGGCGAAAGAAACCGTATGTGCATCATCTGAAAGCTGGAGGTGGATTCCATAACGCCTTTCTTCGTCGCAGAACTTCTCGAAACTCATCACAACTAACTAAGCTCACACCCGCAAGCCTCAGACTCGCGAACCCCAAAATGATAGGTCAGCTTCTGCATCCTCAAACAAAAAACTTTAAGATCTCAGCCCAAGCTCTTGGGCCGGATATGAACGTCCTTGGGAAAAGGCTTCTTCATCCTCACCACCTCCACAACCGTCACACCTTCGTGCAGGTCGCGCGGAAATGGCGAGGCTGGCCGATGATTTCAGGCTTATTGAAAGGCGGGTATGGTGATGGAGGAATGTAATGTAGTGCTTGCATGTGATTACCCAGGTGCTCTGGTTGCATGGCTGCGCAAATTCCACCCAAGAGGTGCTTCGATCTGCTGGTTCCGGTCCATCCCGACGGTCGCTTGGTACAGAGATGCCGTAGACGTGAGGCTGAACCTCGCACTTCGCACTTGTGGATTTCTAATCAAGCTGACGTAGCTACTTCGAGCTTCAAGTTTGAACCACAGATCAGTTGGTGATTTCAAGTCGGCTTCCCGACTCAGTGCGGCCCAGTGCGGTCGAGAGGCAGATCTTCCTGCGTGGTGAAGCGTCACCTGAAACTCCGAGGACCAAGGCCCAGCGGCTCCGGCGTAGTACTCAAAGCCGGGCTCGGAGTCCGACTCTGCATGCAGCGCCAGGGAATGAAGCGCGACGACCAGCAAGCGTCTCATGGCCATCTGTGAGAGATGTCCGAGGAATGGCACAGGTAACCGCCCGCTTACTGGTAAGTTCGAGCCTGAAAACTGGCGCACGGTGCCGCCTCGCCAGAAGACAAAACCGCGACGACTCATGATCACTCTGACGTCAAACTGCACGGCCACCGTGGTCTCCAGCCGTGCTTCCAAGCATAGCAAAGGTGAGGGCTGCGACGGTAGCAGCAGCATCAGAGCAACGAACTGTCACAAGGAAGCTCTGAAGGAGTGGAGGGCTGGGCTGGTGATGCAGCAAGGCGGAATGAGGAATGAGAAGGCATCGGCTCTTCCCCCGCCCTTCTGTGGCCTTTTGCATCAAGGCATTCTCACAGGCTCCAGAACTCTGTCTGTGCAGCCCGCAGCTGTGCGTCAAGCTGCGCCAGGGAAGAGAAGGCCTCACTGTCACTGGATTCTGCCCCTAAACCCTAAACCTGTTTTGGGCTGCTCTTTGGCCGGAAAGGGCACGGGATTCGCTTCGGAGACTCTGCCGTTAATGCAAGAGGCGTGCCTGCTGCGGCTTCACAGCGTCGGGTGCGGTTGCCGGTATCCTGGAACCTGCTGGCATCCGCTGGCATCCGCTGGCATCCAGGCTTCAAGTGCAAGTAAACCCAATAGGTGCGATGAATGTCGTACAGTACAGTTCCGCGGACCTCCCACAATTGGCTGTGGCGTTGTCTGCACCACCGCCTGCCCGAGACCAGGAGTATCGTCAGCACGAGCATCCTTCTCCGAAAAGCTTGACTGAATTCTAATCTCGAGGCAATTCGACGCCTTGCCTGCGGCGCCGCTCCGTGAACACGCCGTGTCCTTGGGACAGTCCCAACAAGGATGACTGTGCGGCCATGCTCTCACCAGGAAGATGGGAATCGCCCAGCATGTGCTAAGTCCAACAACCCGTTCCGGGCACCGGATTTGTGCTGATTTACGGGCGATCAGCCAAATTCAGAGCTCCCAATGGTGTCTCCTGTCAGTTCCACCCCCCTTTTGGAATGAAATGCAATCGGACAACAGCCGCAATATCCCCGGCAATAATACGGACCATCAAAGAGGTCATGTCAGCTGCCTGCCATGTTGTGCCGAGACACACTGGCGAATATCGTCGCTCTAGCTGATTTTCATGCTGCTGCCGTCGCAGCGTTTGCCGGCCTTTCCGATTTCGACACATATCGAAGCGACAACTTTTCGACAATCAGCTAGCGATGGTATCGGTACGCATCTCCACAGCAGCAAACTGCACCGAGCATGCCAAAGCTCTCCTCGAATCTAAACCCTAAACCTCAAACCCCCATCCTGTCTTGCAGAGCAGCCTCGAGGCATAAATCATCCAATCTCTCCCGAGAGCCCTACAGTCTACAGAATAGTATTGGTAATTTAGTACTTATTCCGGCTGTTGGAGTTAAGGATTTAGGGTTTAGGGCTTAGGGTTTAGGGTTTAGGGTTTGCCATATTTGGCTGTTTCGCCTCCTGGGCCTTCTGGACTTGGGCTGCGCGGGCCAAGCAATGCTTGGGCAGCCTCCGGCGAGTCGGAAGGGGCCAGCTTTGGGTTTAGTAATTTAGGGTTTAGGGTTTCGGGTTTCGGGTTTAGGGTTTCGGGTTTAGGGTTTTAGGGCTTTAGGGTTTTAGGGTTTAGGGTTTAGGGGGTGGTGGCCAAAGAAGAGGTCCCAATGGTAGAACCCTAAACCCTCACCTGAAGCCAATAACATCTTGGACAAGTTCCGAAACTCCACATGGCCTGTGCCGCTTGGCTTTTTGCCGCAGAGGCATCCAAGCCTCCGCGTGAGCGCAGGATTGTGCAGTGCGAAGCATTGGTGAAGCAATGACATTCAGTTGGTCCACGGCCTGCTGCTTCCAAGTCGTGCCAAGCTTGCTGCAGCACCTGACGACAGGCGACCCCATGTTGTGCTCCACTCTCAGAAGGCCTCCCAAGGATCGAAGCTGGATCGCTGGAGTCCCTGAAGAGAAGCCCTCATAAATGCAACGGTAACCAGAACCCGCTTAGGAGACCCTGCGACCATCAGGTTCTTTGCCTGCAGCCGGCGCTCGGCTGCTCTCACCCTGGCGAGGGAGCTCTCTGCAGATTCGCTTTTTCGCAAGAGGAGAGAGGCGGCCTCGCGGCTTGCTGCATGACCTCGCCGCATGGCTACAGTTCTCTAAATTTAGGGTCCCTTTTTGGGTCCCCAGTATACTACGGCACCCTTATAAAAAGGATCCTAAGTCCTAAAAGGGACCCTAATTTAGAGAATTACCCGCATAGCTACAGTCGTGTGCATCGGTTCAAACTCCGTGGCACTTCCAGGACTAAGCAGCACGGCAATGGCGCGGCGCTTCTCTTCCGCGCGCTTTCGGCGATCGTCGGCGGCATGACGAAGCTCCTGCACCTCGACTTCGACAGCACTCAGCCGACAGCTAAGTCAAACATCTCCAAGTGAGGAGGAATCCGGAAGGCCTCCTCACGTTTCTTGGCCAATGCTGCCTTGCACATTCTCAGGTATACGGTATGCGTCTGCCAGCATGCTACCGCCCTCGACCTCCTGCCTCCAAGTCTGCCACTTCCGCAGCCAGGGCCCCGGAAGAGTCCTCAGAGAAGTTGCAGTTGCAGCAGTCTGCAAGCTTGGGCCACAGGTGCAAGGACTATCTGCTCGGCAGTTTTCTTGGCAGTGCACGGCATCGCTTGTCAAGCCGAGCTCTGTTTGAAGACCTCCCATTGTGGAAGGGCCAGCACTGCATTGGTGTTCGCACAGGTTTGCACATAAAGCTGCGTGTGAGATGTACAATCGTGTTTGACAGTGTGACATGGTTGGACATGCAGCGGCGACCCTCGTGTTGCACAGAGTCGGAATTACTTCTAGCCTCAGGCTTGTCTTACCCTTTTCTTGCCTTCCACCATCGACTCCACGCGGCTTTGCAATGTATGGCTCATCGATCGCAGATCCTTGGCTCACACACCAGCGTATTTCTGATCGAAAGGCCGAGTTCGACACAGTGCCGTGACATGAGCACACTACCACCAGCTCGCACTAGCCCGGCTGAGTTACGTGTAGGTCGAGCGCGATAGACCGGATCAACTTCGAGAGACAAGTTGCCTTCTGATCCTGCAGCGCCATGCAAAACAAGCGAGCCTTGGACAGAGGCGGATCAGCTTCGAAAGAAGCGCGACTCTCGCGACTGGCAGTAAACGGTGTGCCATGGAGCTGTGGAGCCCCCAAGGCTTTGGATGGATCGGCGTAGGGCGTCGTTGCCCTCGTTCAGGGATGCAGGGTGCAGCACTCACAAGATCTGAATGTACGATCGCCGGCGCAGGCAACACATCGCCCTCACCATCCGCTCGTCTCTGCATCTTGTGTTGTGGCTCAGAGATCAGCCGAACGAAGCAGGAAACAGATCCATCAAATCCGATGCTTTTTTCACTCGGGTTTTGTTCCAGTGTAGGTGCTGTCACGAGCACCTCCTCCGTGCTCTCATCAAATGATGCAGCGTCGCCGTAGACACCTGCACGGTATGGCTTCCAGTAGTGTCAGACTGGAAGTGACAGCGCCCGCGGAGTCAAGAAGCTTTAGGCTTACGACTGGTTGCGCATGAATCGCTTGCGGCTGACGTTTAGGACCGCGATCACTTCACTCACTCCCTCCTCCTGGCACAGCATCGCCTTCGTGCCAGGATTGCATCTGTCTGCTCCCGCTTCAGCACTATCGCGCAGGAGAAGCCGAAACGTGCCCCCGTACCATCCTGTACCGAAGTGCCCATGGAGCGCCCCGTTGATTCGGTGTCCCAAGCTGCACCCACACAAGACGCACACAGGCACGCAATTTCCTGCTAACGGAACAATGACAAGCACAACCCGAAATTTGTCGTGGATCCGCCTGCATCCATCGCGCTGGCATGGATGAGCAGACAGCTGAGTTGATGATGCACCTGAGCGGAAAAGCCAGCGAAAAACCAAGGGAACGCGGGGCAATGCTGGACTTCGACAACCTGACATTGCACAATTTCAGATGGAGAGAAGCCAATGGGTTGTGGACCAGGACGCATGTCCTCATTTGCTCCAACAAGCGGGCGATGCGATCGCCTTGGTAGTCGCAGGAGGACCCCAGCGAAACACCACAGCTGAACTGAAAACCAGCCGGAGAGACCTGTCGGAGAGTGTGGTGTGGTTGTGCAAGCATCCATGTCCTCTAAACAAGAATCCATGTCTGGCGAAGATCTGGCTTTAGGAGCTAGGGTGTTGGAGCTGCAGGGCTTAGGGCTCACGATTTAAGGTGTTCCTACTCCTCAGCCTGCGGGGTACAGAAACTCTGGCTCTGCACAAACGGAGGCAGTTCAACAAACATCAGGAGTGCGCCCTTCAATGCGTCTGCGAGCTCGAAGCGTTGTGATACGATCTACTCAAATCCAATCAAAACTCTGCTTTGGCCTCCATGAGGTTCCGAATTCCGGCATCCATTGCCGCAAACAGGCTGTCAGAACTAGCACTGATCCCACATGCACTCTCTGATCTTGTAAGCATGGGAGAAAGTAGCGGTAGCGTTTGCTTGCCCAAGGACGTACAGGATGACAGAAACTGCTCCCAGGAGTTCCCATGCAGCAACGGATACAGAAGCTGGGTTTGCATATTGTGAAGGTTGCATTGAAGCCCTGCAGCCCAGAATGCTGCAGAAAGGACATGTCTTAAAAGGCTCGGAGAAACCAGACCTACGTAATTGATGTTGTAACCGCAAAGAGGTGTCGACCTGCGACATCCACCTTCAGGCAGCCTGAGACGCAGACTGCTCTTTCCCCGCGTTTGCATAGGTTCCAGCTTTACGGCATTTGCAATGCAGGGCCAGCAGCGGACTTCGCGCGGCATCGGCGACTCAGAGCCTCCAAGCCTCCCGGGACGATGCAGTGATGCTTTGCCGCACTCAGCGCAGTCTCAAAGGCAGCAAGACAGATAGATGCAGGCGTGCTTTGCAAATCTGGAGACAAAGTCGCAGACAGACGCGGACTATCGAACAGACCACCAGGCGACGGAGGAAAGGATGAAGCTTGCAGGATGATTGCAAAAGACTGCTACCATGGCAAACTACTGCATAAGGTCCAGGGTCAAGCACCAAGTCCCAAACGCAGATCAACGCCGGGGAACTTGCCAGACCTCAGGAGTCTAGTGTCAAACAAGATGCCACACTTCATGGCTACGAAGCTTCGCAAAGACCTGGATTGTCTGGAGTGGACAGCTTTTCTTCGGCCTGTGGTCTACCGACTCAGCTCCGACATCCTTGCAGGACCTTTTCAAGGTCACCCGCCAGGAAACTGGAACCGCTTTGCAAGCGAAGATTTCACCCGTTCAATGCCCAGCTGTAGCAGCAGCATTGTCGTCATGAGCAAATTCGCCCTTTGACGTTTGCTAGTCACTGGATCCGTCTACACCGTCTGCGCTGCACTGCACACAACGACTGCCAGCAACAGTTTTTGGCTGCTTCAGCTTACTTTGCCCTTCGATCCAGCGGTTCGCGCAGGCCCATCAGCCCAGACTCATTTGCCTTCCGAGTTATTGGGCGCAAATCACATTCAAGTCAGAGATGCTGCAGGCTTTCGGATGCTGTTGTAGAGGCTCTCTGCTAGGCAGTTTCCACCAACACTCTCTATGAGATGCATCGCACTGCCGCAGTAATAAAACCGAAAACACGACCAACAAAAACAGTGTACAATTTCATCATGACATGCACCTGATACATCACAGTTTGATGCTTTCTTCTCCTCAAGGGCTAAGTACACGTCACCCCAAAGTTGCGTGGAACCTGCAAACAAAAACCACCGCCAACATGCACGGCCTGAAGCTCCAGCCGCAGCGGAAATTCTTGCCTTCGGGAATTTACAGCTTTGGGGAAGCTTGCTGTGATTACTTGGATACCACTACCACCACGAACCCGCAACTACTATTACGACTACTATTACGACGGCGACGACGACGACTACTACTGCTAGTGCTAGTGCTAGTGCTAGTGCTAGTGCTAGTGCTAGTGCTAGTGCTACTGCTAGTGCTAGTGCTAGTGCTAGTGCTAGTGCTAGTGCTAGTGCTAGTGCTAGTGCTAATGCTAGTGCTAGTAGTAGTGCTAGTA